AATAATAATAATAATGTGTCATTCACTCTCATGTAATTTCTTTTCCTGTAAAGATTTTCACCATAAAATTGCACTTGTGTGCAATTTTATGGTGAAAATCTTCTCTTGAGGCTACTGAAAGAAAAACAAAAAAAAGTGCTACCAAGAGACCAACAGCATTGTCCTGATCAATTGACAGAGCACTCCTATATATCTACTCAGAAGTAAGCCTCACTGAATTCAGTGTGGATTGCTCATTGCCCATAGGACTATTAAATCAATGACTGTTTTTATCAATTTATCCAGCAATTAAACTTGTGCAGCCCTTGCTTTAATAGATGTAAATGGAGACTGAAGCTTGCCTGAAGGCACTCCCTAAGTTCTTGGATAAGCTGCAACTTGAAGTTCAAGCAATTAAATCTACAGCTAGCACTTCATCTGCTGGTTCATTCAGTTTTTGAATATGAGCTTTATGAAACAACAGTTTAAAATGTTTTTATTGTGTTACACCCTTCCTGTCTGAGGATTAGAAGAAAACAAAGTGCTGAAATTTGTTGGTTGTATGCAGATCCATGTAGTTTTGACTGATGCAATGATCTGATTTTCCTGTCCTACGAACAGCTGCAGGGCAGGCAGAAATTCAGCAAGTGAACATTCTTTGTATGGATGCCTGAGTATAGCAACATCCCTTGAATCTCTGCCTACAACATAGCAGTTAATGAGCTCTTTCCCTTTCTGGCTATTAAAAAACCATTTACCCTGCAGTTCTCAACATTTTAGTTTTTGCCTTACGTAATTTAAAAACACTGGTGCTTAATTTTTATTGTTTGCTTTCAGTACTGGTTATCTTAATTGTCCCCCCCCCCTTTTTAAAAAGTACTTCATTTCAAACCTCAGTTGATTTAAAGGTTCTACTCATAAATAGCATTTGTGGTGTTTTGATTAGCATGGAAAATTGCCTTGAAGATCTTTGTTTAAATGGAAAACAATGAAGGGAAATCATGAATGCAGAAATTGTACAGAAATAGCCGTTTGGGGAAAGGAAAGGACTCACACTGCTCTCTGTTAATTACCTTGGGAATATGTCGTTCCTGTCCCACTGACACTGAACCTGTTGAGATGCAGCCTGTGAGTGACTACATTCTTCTGTGGCTGGAAGAGGACAATGTGCACTTTGGGGGCAAACAAACATCCCAAGACAACAAAGCCACTCAGGCTTACAGAAATGCACATTGTTGTCGTCTGAACCTGCATGGAGAAAAATACAGAAGCCCTCAGTTTTAGATGTTACAAAACACAGCACCAAAAAAAGAGAGGAGATCTTGGCAGGCATGGAAACCATTGACTGAGGATGGAGAACTCTGTGGTCCTCCAGAGGTTGTTGCATTCCAACTCCCATCATCCATGATCTTTGACAATGATCTCTGGAGCAGATGGGACTTGGAGTTCAAGCTCGGCTCAGGCTGACTGGGGAACTCTTGGAGTTGCAGTCCAAAAAAGCAAATTTTTCTGAGCTGTACATGGACCCTCCAGTTAAGCCAAACCACATAAGAGTCCTTATTGAAGAGAAACATTTTGCATCCTGTGTCATCTGTATAACCTCTTCAAATTTACTGCATCACAGGTGGGCAACCCCTTTGGAGCATTCAGCTCTGGGCTTCTCCCTTGTACAGCCCTCTTGGTCGGACTCTTATTTGTCATAAGGAAAAACAAGTTATCAGCAAAGCATAGCTGAACTAGAAAGTATGATGCCTGGAGTGGCATTTTAAAAGTCTCTATGTCAGTGTTTGCCAACCTGGGGGTTGTGACCCCAAATGTTTTCTGGGGGTCATGAGTCACCTTATATATGTTGTAAGGTAAAGGTTCCCCTTGACATTCAGTCAGTCGTTTTCGACTCTAGGGGGCGGTGCTCATCCCTATTTCCAAGCCGTAGAGCCAGCGTTTGTCCGAAGACAGTTTCCCTTGTCACATGGCCAGTGCGACTTAGATTCGGAATGCTGTTTACCTTCCCACCGAGATGGTACCTATTTATCTACTCGCATTTACATGCTTTTGAACTGCTAGGCTGGCGAGGAGCTGGGACAAAGCGACGGGAGTTCACTCCGTCATGTGGATTCGATCTTATGACTGCTGGTCTTCTGACCCTGCAGCATACAAAGGCTTCTGCGGTTTAGCCCGCAGCGTCACCACGTCCCCCACTATATATGTTGTAGCCTTTGTTATATAATTTTTTCCTTGACCTTTCAGACCAGGATATTAAATTTTGTGTATAAATTTATGTATATGGAGCTGCCCCCGGGCCCTGGAAGGGAGGGGGAAGACGTCTCTAGTTTCTGAGGAGGGAGGACTGTACTCCATTAAAAATGCATTTTTATGCAAATGTGATGGTGGGTGTCACAGGCCACTTGACTATTATAAAAAGAAGTTGTGACTTGAAATAAGTCGGGAACCACTGTTCTAGGTGAACACATAATGCAGCTGAGTTGTGCATGAACCTAGAGTGATGGAGTAATGATACTCTAGCTCTTGCACATGTGCACATATGATGCAGATGTGCCTTCCTATGGTTTTTCATTGCAGTAGCAGCAACACATAGATAATATGGTGAGAAGTGCACAGATGCAGACCTAAAAGAGTAACAGAAGTGCATACCAGTACTTGGGAAGTGAGAGGACAGCAGTGAGTTTGTACATGTGTCTGTGAGTGCTGTATATGACCAGGTTGGCAAAGACTGTATGTGAGAAGGCAAATGAATGTAAAAGAGAATAAATGAATGAATGGCTGATATATGTAGTGCAAGCTTGCGTGAGAGAGATCTGTAGTCTTATGGGACATATCTAGTCATTACTTCCCTGGTTCTCTGGACATACTTTGAAGAGAGGACCTAGTCTCTCTGTCATCTGTTTTTCTACATCAAGTGTGATGTGTCTTCAGAGGAGAGGTTTCTGCTAATGTGCAGACACTTGCTCATGTGAAGGGCTTATGTATGAGCTGAAGTCGCTCCTCTGCAGACTTGTCTATTTCAAGATGGATAAAAAAACCCAACAACACAGAGAGAAGGGGCTTTGCATTCCCCTCTAACGATCTGAAGTGAACTTGGTATCAGTAGGGCTAGAACATGTGGAAGGGAGGAGTTGATTCTCCATCTTTTGGAGATTTGGTCCCACCCATTGTCAACTCCAGCTACACTCGCCTTTGGTGTGTGCCCCTCTCAAAGACTGAGTTAATGCAGACCCTGCTTCATGTTGCTGAAGGTTTTTCCCAGTCTTGACTTGGTTGCTTTTCATTTGCTTACTCTCCCTTGACTTACAAAGCATGGCATTTTAAGATATAATATTTTCCCATTAAAAAACAAATCCCTAAAGCATGGCTGACAGAATGTTTAATCTCACAATGGATGTGAGTGAAATGAAGGTGGAAGACTTACCCTGTAGTCACTCGATGTCACATAAAAGATTGGTAGAAAGGCCAGCCAAATAATGCATGTTGTATACATTGTAAAGCCAATAAATTTGGCCTCATTGAAGTTTTCTGGGCACTTCCTTGTTTTGAAGGCATAGACAGTGCATAGGACTACAAGGATTACATCATACGTTAAAGAAATTAACATACTGGGATCCTTGACATTGCACTTCAATATGACAGTCTGCCTCTTCTCCGGGACGGTGTACCTGCGAGTGCCTGGGGCCTCCAAAATCAGCCACACGGACACTACCACAACCTGCACCATGATGAGACTCAGGCAAATGAGGACCTGAGAACGAGGGCTGATGAATTTAGGGCGCTGAGCCCCATTCTTCACTCCATTAAATATTCTGGCAATGCAGTTTGTTTTGGTCAGGAGAGCAGCGTAGCAAATGGCAAATGAGGTGCCCAGGCCCAAACGGCGCAGGGTGCAAATGACCGGGGAGGGCTTGGCGATGAAAAAGAACGTCATGCTATAGGAGAGGAAGACTCCAAAGAGCAGGATGTAGCACAGTTCCCGACTGGAGGCTTTGACCAAGGGAGTATTGTTATGCTTGATAAAGACTCCCACGACCAGGAAAGTACAAATGAAGCCCAGGCAGGCGATGGTCACGGGCCCTATCGCCCAAGCATCCTCCCACCTGATGTAATCTTCTGGCAGGTCATAACAGCTGGTGAGGTCCACAGTGGGCCATTGCCCAAGCCCACAGTCTGAACAGGTGAATTCGTCCGCCAGGTACTCAAAGGGCTCGCAAGGAATGCAAATCCAGCAGCAGACGTCCCCAGGTTGCATGTTCTTCATCTCATTGGGTGCACAGGGGTCACTGCACTGGGCAGTGGGGATAACACCTCTGGACCAGTGAATGGCATCAACGTCGAGAGTCAAGGTTTCTGCCCACTGGCCAACTTTTACATAGGAGAATTTACCTCCATTGCGCTGGAAATTGAAGACATTGTATCGGCCTATCCCGTCTCCATAGGTATCAAATTTAACAATGTTGTCTGCAGATTTGGAAGAACTGAATGGAGCTGCCAGAAATTAAAGAAAAAAAATGCTTAATACATTTTCCATATTTGGAATGCATGTAAACAACCAATACAACTTCAGTAAACTTAGAACTGTGAAGAAGTAATGTTGGGTAAGCTAGTATTTCTAGCATTTCCCCCCCATTAATTTGTACCCAGGTACAATGGCTTGGGCCAAACCATAGCCATATACTTGTATTACCATTCCATTCCAGGATATAAAAACCCTGCTTTGTCTAACAGCATATAACATTTTATTGGTTGTTGTCGCATTCCCCCAGTTTCCCCTGTTTGTTTTCCCTCAACCACAGGTCCACCTTCGGACACCATGTGCTATTTTCTCCCTTTACATGCTGCCACCAGTGGATCTTTATCCACACTGTACCAAATATGTTTCTTAGACACGGGCTGCCACACATAACAGGTTTATTTATTGTTTGATTGGTGAATCATAGAAGAAAAGTCATTGATGTTCTTTTATTGTTCAGTCAGTAAACTTGGATAGGATTACACGTTTGCTTGTTCGTATTCATTCACATTAATCACTGTAACAATATCTTATGACTGTCTATTTTCTATTACTTTTATCTCTTATCTATTCTCTAACACACACCAACTTTCCAATCTCTGTTTTAACCCTTCAAAACCTATTCTCTAACTCTTCTCAGTCTCCAACTGTTCTCTTGACTCTGCCCTCCTGTCCTACCATAGGCTCCTGCCCTAGAGCTCCATATGATGGACAGGCGTGACTTGGGCATTCTGCCATAGTTGTCTTTAAAGAAGTGGTTCACTTGATCCTGCAAAAGAGTAATGCCATTTGAAAAGTATTGGGCCTTAATTAACTCTTTCAAATGCTGCAATTGGAAGTCTATTCATGAGTGCCCAACAGAGGTATCAATGATCCTTAAAATGGCATACAAGGACTTTTTGGTTTTTTACAGCCCACTCATGACAGCATCATGTGTGGAAGGAGTCCAAGAATATGTATTCTATTATTTATTAATTTAATTTATACCCCGCCCATCTATACCGAAGGCTACTCTGGATGGCAGTAGTTTTTGGAAGAATGGGAAACTAAATGCTTCTGAATCCTTTGTCCCTAGGATGCTGCTGTTTCAATAGTTCAGGAGGAACAGAGGCTTTGCAAAGTAAATTTGATGACTCCTGCCATTACAGCACCAAGCAACCTTTTAGGTGAAGGGAGGGAATAGTGCAAGGTGTGGGAATGCAAAGATGGAAGAGGCAGGAGATGTTCATGACCTGTCAAGTCTCTAATGATTCACTATGAGGGCACTGCAGTTTCTGAAGTTTGGCTCCTCAGCCGTGCTTGTTAGCCTTAGCTAATCTGAATTGTTCTGCTTGATCAATCTCTTTCCAATCATCCTCTTCCCTGCAGATAACCTGGGACCCAGCAGTTCTAGCCAAGGCAAAGCGTGCTGCTTATATACCGTCCCACAGCACTTAAAGTACTCTCTGGGTGGTTTACAATTTAATTAGGCTGAACTTCGAGTCAGCTACCTGGAATTGAACCCAGGTCACGAGCAGAGTTGAGTCAGCTACCTGGAATTGAACCCAGAGTTTTGGCTGGAGTACTGCAGTTTAACCACTGCACCACCCTTGCCAGATCATTGCGTGTTTGGAACACAAATGTGGACCCTATAGTGGTTAAGTCAGATGCATCTCAAAATAAACATGTGATGGCTACAGGTCCAACTGAAAAATGGGGTGCTGAACAACCATCCTGGCTGAGGTGTTCTCTGCCAAATTCTGCTGCATCTGCACTGACAGACGTGGCATGTCCATCGGACTGTCAATAAATCTGTAACTGAAAGGACGGGTTGCCTAAGAGGGCTGTGGCCTAAGAAATGGTCGGAGCCCCTGTGTTCTCCACAAATCTCATTATTGCACAACTGGCAGCTTTTTCAATCCCAGATGGAAGCTGTGTGTGTGTAAAGAGAGAATAGCATTTTTCAAGCTGAGAATTATAGGTTGAGTACATTTTAAAAAAAATGCAGTCTCCCAGGAGCAAAGTTCTGAATCATATTTCTAGAATGGATAATAATTCTTTATTTCCCTATAAAGGCCATTGGGGGATCCTGGCAGGGGGGAATATTTATGTCATTCTGCTTGACTCTTGCAGTTCCTGCATCCTTAGTTACGGGGACGGCACCTCCTGGAAGTGGTTCCAGGATGCCAATGTTAAGAAAGTAATCTGTAATGTAAAGGCAGATTAGGAAAAGGCCTAACTGTAGTCAGTTTATTGTATTAGAGGTGTTTTGGGAGGTTGGGTTTGCCTTAAGAGTAAGAGTTTGGAGAGATGGTATTTGTCCCTTAACAGCTGTCATTTGGTTTTTTGGCAACAAAAAAACTACAATATTTCAAAGAGATCATGTAAGAGTGCTTTCAGCTTGAATGGCGGTTAGTGCTGTTTCCCCCTTCTTTAATACATATTTTTGTAGGAAATCCTATGAAAAGAAGCATCTGAGGCACATAGGGTGAGGACATGGGAAGATTACTAATAAAGGTAAAGGTAAAGGTTCCCCTTGACAATTTTTGTCCAGTCGTGTTCGACTCTAGGGGGCAGTGCTCATCCCCGTTTCCAAGCCATAGAGCCAGCGTTTGTCTGAAGACAATCTTCCGTGGTCACACGGCCAGTGCACTTAGACACGGAACGCTGTTACCTTCCCACTGAAGTGGTCCCTATTTATCTTCTCGCATTTGCATGCTTTCAAACCGCTAGGTTGGCGGGAGATGGGACAAGCGACGGGAGCTCACTCCATCGCGTGGATTCGATCTTACAACTGCTTGGTCTTCTGACCCTGCAGCACAGGCTTCTGCGGTTTAGCCCGCAGTGCCACCAGATTACTAATAGACGATGCCATTTTCTGGACAGTTTCTCACAACAACTTTCTGCGAATAGGCAAAACATTTGTCCAGTAAATGCCTTGTCTAGAAGCATCCAAAACTACTCCCCAATTTATAGACTGTAAGAGTGATTTGGGGTAATGCAACAATAGTTGCAGCAAAGAACCCTGTGTCCTTTCAAGGTTACTCCTGCCATGATCAATCATCCTTCAGTCACATCATTAATTCCTTGTTTTGCCTAGGATAGCAATTCTTTGCAGCCTATCATTAGAGGAAATACATAATTACACCTGGTTTATTTCATGCTACTGCTGCAACACAATTGGAGGTCACCATTAAAACATCAGGAAAAAAAATGCATAGACACTACTGATAGATTCTTTCCTAAGAACCTGCTGAGCCTGCTCCTTCTTGCTAGAAAATCTGCCCAGGCTGGACCTTTCGAAGAAAAAGGTGTTCATTTGTTGGATGCCTCACATAGTCAAAATTGCAAAAACAAAACAAAACAACAACATCAAAAAACAAAACACCCCCCCAAAAGACAAAAAACCAAACCTTCAGTGCATAGAAACAATTTGTTAAAAATCAATTTGTTAGCCCTACTTCATTTGAAATGTTCAACAATGAATTTAAAATGCATTCTTATAATTGTTAAACAGCAACATTTTTTAATGATTTTTGAAAAAAAGTCTAAGAACTTCTATTTGCAGTTCACACAGTGGATTTGATTTCATTATGCTGTCAAGAGCTGAACTTCAATAAAATTCTTTTAAGTGTACAATTTATTCATTAGTGTTCATGTTAATATTGCTAAACAATGCATGCATCCCTTCCCTTGTTTCCTTGTCATGCTTTGTCCACAATTCTACCTGTACCTACATAAGGTTTGCATTAGTTGCTGCAGATAAATGTGGCTACTTAATGAGTTACTGGGATGCACGTTACAATGCCCAGTTAGGTTTGATCAGGGTGTGACTGGCACGTGCCCTGGGGACTTCATTAATTGGCTGCTGTTAGCTGCAGTAAGTTGTGCAAACCTTAAGCAAACCCTCTTAGGATACTAGCTTTTGTGTTTGAGGGCAAAGATAACCAAAGGGATTTGATGGCCCAAGGCAAAGGCATCCTTATATTCTACGTAGAGAAAGAGATTGGATCGGCAACGGAGCCGTTCTAGCTGGAGGCTCCACTGAGCTTCTCGGTTCTTTGGTGAAAAAACACTTGCAGAAAAAATGGTTAAGCAAAGCTTGCTTTGGGGCTGCTCCAGTAAGATTCAGAAGGCCTCCCTCATGCCAACCGTTCTGTTAAAAGTAAAAAGATATACATTTTGGGACGACTCATTTCTCCTGTCACAGGGATCAGCTCTCAAAAATGTGCTTTAACATTCGATGTTCAAACCATCCTTGGGATTGCCTATAGGTGGAGCTGTTTACACTAAACACAGCAAGTGTATGATGGGAACTCATGATTTTCAAAAAGGAATTCATTCCATTAGCCCTGCAGAGTTTTGGTGGGTATTTTCAGCACCGCTCACAAATCACATAAGCCAGACTACTTGCCTATTAATCAGTTTGACCCTATTTGAGCTCAAAAGAAATGAATCTTAGATGCAGTTAATTTTGCTTTTTTTCCCCCTTACAGACTGAAGTGTATTTGCTGCTGTTCAGGTGAATTTAAAACTTAATCTCAAATCCCAAAAGGTTTAATTTGGACTGGTGAGATACATTTGACTTATATACTAGCGCCCACAATCCAGAAAGGTTTGGTGAGGGTTTTTGGTTAGCGCAATTCTGAGTAAAATAAAGGGCTAAATAGATTGGAAGGCCTTTATACTTGTGAATTTAATTCAGGTTGTTCAATGGCACTGACAATCTGCAATATGCCTTGAAAATTCATTTTCTGATTCTTTTTGTATTTAGCTCTTACTATTGTTAGAGTAGGAAAAGCTGTACTGGGATACAATATCAAAAATGTTAGAATGATTTCAATATGAACCCGAGGCAGACCTTTCAACAACACAGTAATCCAAGTTTATGCTGAAGAGGCTGAAATAGACCACTTCTGTGAAGACTTACAACACCTTCTAGAACTGACACCAAAGAAAGATGCTGTTCTCATTATAGGGGATTGGAATAGTAAAG